AGAGAGAGAGAGAGAAATGTACGTAAGAAAACAGATTTTATAAGGATCAAACAAAATCTCTCTGATTAACTTATTCAGATCTCTTAATATAAGTAAATGAGAAATTATAGAGGATTTGAGAACTAGATGGTCCCCAGGAAATCACCTGGATTGAAGCCCTCAATTTATAGATGAAGTACTGAGAAGTTAAGATTTGGGCACCTGCCCACATGCTCACAGAAGGCGGCCCTAGTTTATGGTGGTCTGGAGGGCGGTGGGGTGAGTCATGATCCTGTCCAGGCTAGACTGTCCCACTGTTCCTTGACAGCTCCTGGACTGAGACTGGCCTTTTTCTTGGCAGGTTTCTTTCTTTTTTAACAATAAGTAAGAATAGGAAATGAAAATGATAACTGACCATTTCCTAATGGGCTTATAAAATCATTTTTTGAAGTATGATGGCACTTGGCAAAAGTAATTGTGGATTCCACTAACAGAATGAAAGAGCACATTTCAAGAATGTGTGCAGGAGTGATCTTATACTTTGTACTAAAAATAAAACTCCTTTTCAGAGCAAAAAGCATCCCTCTTGTAAAAGTGTATACATTTCCTCCAGGAGTACATAAGCTCTTTGATCGTCTATAATTTTAATTCTGTAACAATAAAATATCATCACAATAAAATCTTTTGACTCAGACAAAAAGTCCCAGGCTGTGCCGATCAAAGTTCAGTGTAAGAGAACTGTGTCTGCTCCTGGATTCCACATCCTTGCCTCCCTCACACTGGCCGTCAGCACACTCTAACCGCCTTTCACCTTTCTCACTCTCTCAACAGATCCAGTGGTTATTTTCCTGTTCATGTCTAACTTGACTTCTCAGTAATAACATCATGCCTGACCACTCCTATTCTATCATTGTTCCCGTTTTCTTCTGTGACTGTTCCTTCTTGATCTCATCTATTCCATGCTCGAGTTCCCCAAGGCTCAGCTGTGCACGGTCCTTTCACTTCACGCTGCCTTCCTCAGCAGGCTCGCCTTGGTGTTTTATCCTGATCAGGCATAGCACAGTAACTCCCACGTGTCATCTCCACTCCAACAAATATTTCCTAAGTTCTAGAGCACTGTTTCTTCAACATCAGTTGGTAGCAAGACGGCCGCATATGTACCCAGTCTTTGGTGTTCCCTCCCAGAGGACAGCACCATTCTCTATCCAGCTGTGCAACTTGACTGCAGCCCTGCGTGTCCAGTCCATCTCCATTACTCAGCTGTCTTCCATCCTGCGTGTCCAGTCCATCTCCACTACTCAGCTGTCGTCCATGTACCCACTTATCTCACCTCACCCCACCTTCACTAGCTCTTTTCCAGCTGGTCTCCGCATCTCTCGTCCTCTATAAATTTCAAAATGAAGGGGCTGATGGTGACAGAACTCCTCCAAACTCCCCCCAACTCTCAATAAAGATGCTTAGCAGAGCCTGCAGGGAGTCTGTGATCTGCCTGTCACCTTCCCAGGCCCACGTCATGTCACATCTCCCCACCCCCAAGTTTAGTCTCTGGACTCCATCCTTTTTGCAGTTCTCTAAACTGTGATTCCACCAACCATTGGGGCCTTTGACTATGCTGCACCCTCTCTCTACAATGCCCAGAGTGCAACACCCTCCCACTGCCTAGGCCGCTTCTGAGACTTTAGCTCAATCTTTCCTCACAGACACCTTCAGCCCAGTTGCCAAGCCTGGGCCAGATTCTCTTGTTATATGCTGGCAAAGAACCCTTTTGCATTAATCCACATCTGTAACGATAAACTCACTTTGATTTTGCTTAATTAGTCCTCTCTTTTCTGCTAGACCAATGTGTTTCTATGGGATCATAGAATATAGGCCTGTCTTTATATCCACAGGGCCTAGCACAATACCTGGCATACAGTACACGCTCAATCCCTGATGTTAGCCAAGCATAATCCAGTTTAATTTTGAAACGAAGATGTACAAAACAGAATGATTCTATTACATCTAGTCTCCATTCTTTGTACCAGACTTAAAAAACAATGCACTCCATTCTTTTCATCCGACTTTCACCTCTGGCCATTCTGCGAACTCATCCTCCTGGCAACTGTTCCCTGAGGGAGAGAACGAGGAACAGTAGATTGATGGTGTTCTTTGAAATACATTTTTTAAAAGTGAAGACAATAATGGTTTAAAAACAGTAAGGTTTATAAAGTATTTTAAAAAATGAAACAGGAAAACACTAACTTCATTTCACAGATTTCTCCCTGACTTTATTTTAAAGGGGAGATGGGATTTTGGGAGCTGAGCAGCCCCACGTCAGCACGTGCACACACACAGATGCCACCCTTCTGCCACTGGTTCATGTGAGCAATAACAAGGTAAAAAGAGCTTGCCGTTATTTTTAACAGGTAAAAGTTGAAGTTCAGTCATTTAACACAGACAAAAACTAACTCCAGTCTCTTTGGTAAGACAGCATGCTTTTTTGGAAAGTGCTGCAGCCGGCTCTGTGCTTGGTCCTGCACACTTTCCCCCAGTCATTTTCTTTCCAATATAATTGTCTTCAGGGCAAAGTAAGTCTATCAGACTCTCGTCCCAGGAGCACGTCTTTTATTCATTAGTGTACATGTGCCCCCACCCTGTCTTGCTCCAGCCATCTTGCTGCATTCCCAGTGACGTATTTATCACGACCCCTCCCCAAGTTTTATTTAGTTAAGAATTTGCACATGGCCCAAATCAGCTCAGCAGCTCTCAATTCACAGAAGCCAAATAATCCTCATGGTGCTGAAACACTTCCCAGCTGTTGAGAAATAATTCTGTTAGTTTAAACATACACAGAGGGGTGGCACCTGTGGCTCAAAGGAGTAGGGCACTGGTCCCATATACCAGAAGTGGTGGGTTCAAACCCAGCTCCAGCCAAAAACTGCAAAAACTGCAAAAAAAAAAAAATACACAGAGAATGTTTCTGAGACTAATACTTGAAGCTTACTTGGCGAAAATGCTCTGTAATTCCTAGCATAACAAAATATTCATTAGAACCAAAGAATATTTAGAATAAAAATGGGAAGCCACATACTTTAGTCACACGACAGACTGATTGACAAGATGAAATTCTCCAAAACAGAGGCTTCTCATTTCTAACAGTCCAGGAAAAATATCTTAAAACCCAAAAAGGATGTGAAAGGTATTCTGTCTATGTGGCTCCTTGTTGGCATACGTGTTCTTTTCTCCCTTAATGCTTATAAATAATATTTACATACACTCAGTTAAAGGCGGAAGACAGAAATACACCCTGCAATTAAGTACATGGAAATCATGTATTTCACTCTCATATCCCAATTTTTAAAAGTTATTACTTTGAAAACTCACAGAACTAAATTATTTTTCTGCTTCTCTTCTATGTCTTTCCTTGCCAAGTTTCTGCCCAGTGTGCAGACAGCTTTTGCCTTGATTTTCAGCACTGCATCTTCCTGGGCAGCCTCCGAGACCCTGCAGAGCTGGAGGACATCGTGCCAGTGTTCACGGATGCCTCGAATGTAGGGGGAGGGACTGGGGGCAGGGAGGTGTCATTAAGAAATTACAAATACGAAATGCTCAACATGGCTGGGAAAACACTTACCAGGCTAATAAGCCTGCCCAATTCCATCTATTATCTTTTCTTTGAGACATTTAATCATGGTTTTTGAGACAAAAAACATTTTATTTTTTAACCCCACATAGTTTCTGAAGTTCATTAAAAGCTAACAAGCAAAAGACCTGTAATAACTATAGTGTTTCTGTATATGAGTTCTTATGTCAATTTTCTGCTAGAAAAATAGTCCTCTTAGCCTGTAATCCCAGCACTTGGGAGGCTGAGGCAAGAGAATCACTTGAACCCAGGAGTTTGAGGTTGCTGTGAGCTGTGACACCACAATACTCTACACAGGGTGACAGACTCTGTCTCAAAAAAAAAAAAAAAGTAAAAAAAAAAATAGTCCTTAGAATTGGATTTGTTTTATTGTCATCTCTATTGTTTTTCTTTTTTTTGAAACAGAGTCTCACTTTGTCACCCAGGCCAAGAGTGCTGTGGGCTCAATCCAGTTCATAGCAAACTAAAACTTCTGAGCTCAAGTGATTTTCCTACCTCAGCCTCCCGAGTAGCTGGGACTACAGGCATGTACCCCAACACCTGGCAAGTTTTTCTATTTTTAGTAGAGATGGGGTCTTGCTTTGCTGAGGCTGGTGTCCAACCCCTGAGCTCAAGAGATTCTCCTGCCTCGGTCTCCCAGAGTGCTGGGATTACAGGCGTGAGCTACCAGGCCCGGATTTATTCACATATTACTCTGTATAAATGATATTTCATTTCTATAAATAATCAGGAAGTTAAATCAAACCAATTAAAATACAAATGCTAGATTTAAATTGACCTGAATAGTGACCAAAATTGTAGCAGTTTTCACACCAGGAAACTAACTATCAGCAAACAGACAGGTCCTGGGGTCATTCCTCAGGTGAGTGTGAATGCCCAGAGCCACATCATGCGTCCTGCAATAAACCCACGCGTGTGTCATCATCACAGAACTTTAATGCACATGTGCTTGATGTAACCAGACCATCCTACCTACCTCATACAATCATCTTTGAAAAGAAGCATAAACTATTTGGTTTTAGAGAACTAAGATTTAAAAAAAAGGACTCAACAACAACAAAAAAAGTCATTTTATGAGTATTTCCTTTGTATTACTTCTTGGAAATCATCCCGTGAATTTCACAGTATAATCTTTTTTTGAAAATAACTTGCACACATAACACTTTTATCTTCTTGCAGCAATATTCTTTCCTCCACAAAAACCCAATTAAGGACGTTGACCCAGTTTGCATTTGCTTCCTTCCTGCTCACTGAGTTTAAAGTGGGTGTAGGCAAGGATGCCACACAATGTGCACAAGATGCCAAGACACTGATTAATGGACAGGGGGTCCTTGAATAAGACGCATCCTCCAAATAAAGTAATGCAGAACTTGAAGTGTCCAAACATGTTATAGCTGAGGTTTTGGATAAGGATAAAACGACCTAACGAGATACCAGATAGTTACATTTACACACACACACGCGCACACACGCACACACGCGCGCAGTAAAATGAGCTGACAAACAGCGGTGACTCTTATTAATGCTGGGATGGGACAACCCCAGCCTCTTCAGTTAGGCTCTAGTGATTAAACAGGGACAGGAACGTGCCTAAACCATTCTTGTTGATCTCGCCAAAGAAAAGGATTACAATAGAAAAGGAAAGTCACACAGAACAAGGTCCGGAGAAGACACGTTGTACATCCATTTATGGTATTTCTAGTGGCGTTTCTCCCAAGTGCTCTCCCCCCGCCCCCCATGAGGTGAGACATGAAGCAGCCGGAGAGCTGGATCCGTTTACACATATCCAGTATGGCCACGCGCAGTGGCTCACGCCTGTTTGAGACCAGCCTGAGCCAGAGTGAGACCTCGTCTCTAAAAATAGCTGGGTGTTGTGCAGGGCACCTTTAGTCCTAGCTACTTGGGAGGCTAAGGCAAGAGAATTGCTGAAGCCCAGTTGGGGGTTGCTATGAGCTGTGATGCCACAGCACTCTACCCAGGGTAACAAAGTGAAACTCTTTCTCAAAACAAAAAAAAAAACATATCCAATACACTGAAGCTTGGGAGGGAAGGGGGGAGGGGGCAGAGACTGGGCACCATCCCCTGCTCTGCAGCCTCACTCTCCCTCTTTACAATGGTAGAGGCTCAGGGAGTTTCAGTAACTTGCCCCAAATCACAGAACTATTAAATGGGAGAGCTGGAGTCCAAACACAGACCTGTCTATTTAACTCAAGTCACACTCTAATCCGGTGTCTCCCTAACTCACTGCTGGATTAAGTCCTTTCCAAATCATTGTTATTGCCTTTAGAAATTACTTACCATGTTTTAAATATATTTTTCTATGTAAATCAGTATTCTTGTTCTTCAGATGTTTGGTGTGCACCTATGCACTCTGACACTACAAACAGTGACCACCCAATGCCTCGGTTTCCTCATCTATGAAGTGGGGGATAATATAATACACGTACTTATCTCACAGATATTACAGGGATTGAGTTCTGATATACAGTGACAGTCATCAGTAACTGTGCTCATGCTCAGTGACACCGTAATGTGATAGTGACAGTCATCAGTAACTGTACTCACGCTCAGTGACACCGTATGTGATAGTGACAGTCATCAGTAACTGTGCTCATGCTCAGTGACACTGTGTGACAGTCATCAGTAACTGTGCTCACGCTCAGTGACACC